GTAGGATTCCTCGCTGCGGTAGACTATAACGGGCTAATATTATTAATTTTGTAAGAGCGTAGTTAACTTTATCCAAAAATCAGACTTAGATACGATTTAACATAAAGTATTAACTAGCGAACTACATTTCGTTAAATTCAATTTATATTCTTTAATTATGCACTATTCGTTTTGAATTACTATTATTATCGATCAAAATCTATTTAGTTTCTTTTGTTCTAATTAATCATTTATAATCTATATATTTTTCATTATTTTTGTTATTATTGTTATTTGTTAACTTCATTTTTCTTATCGTTTTATTGAATAAATCTTGTTATCGAAAGATATTGACCTGTGGATTTCACTCCTTAACCGCGCACCACACGAATCCCACATTCTTTACATTTAGTTATTTGCGAAAAACGAGACGTTCGGTAGGTAAAAGCTGCTCTTTACCTCACGAGCGCTTATAACATCTGAACTTAGGTTCCAGAGTCGTTACAAATGTTTTGTTCAAATTGCAGTACTCGAGTTACTTGCTTCTGGCAGTCCATCATGTTATTTAAATGACCGAATATTTAAATCAGAATTAACTGTGTCAATTATACGTACGTCTTAATTTTACTGCTTATATTAAATATATTAGTAATAAAGTAATTCAACATACGTCATGCGTGAACTCATTAATTATAAGTATCTTAACAAACGATTAGTATTATCTTCATAATGATGAGTTAAAAATTAATAAAATGATTGCATAGTGATTTCTTTTACTCACGACATCCCTTCGAAAGGTATCTGTCTCGTATTTTATCGTTGTCTTTCCTTGTCCATTGAAATAAGCCTTCACTCGGATCGCTGAGTGACGGGGCACGGGTAAATCTAAATAAACGTAAATTTAAATTAAAAAATTATGTCTAATCGTAACAGTTTAAAAATTGCAAGTTTTATTTTTACATTGACAAGTCAACACGAAAAGTGTTCAGACCATTGTTAAACAAAATGTGGTACATTAATTTAGAGTTTAAAACGATTAATATGATTTGTAGCTAACTATTAGTTTCATTAAGAAACTTTGATGGCAAATTAATAGTATATTTAATGTATTATACAGAATAAAGTATTTGAATAAGAACATTTAAATATTAATTGTATGGAATTATTTCTGAGAACAAAGTTGTACTATTCGGTTAATCCGTTGATGTAAAAGATTTCTCCTTAAGGTAATTTTCTGTTATATTCCTACAGAAAATGAATTTAAAAATTCAACCATTTGCAACATGTACAATTTCGCTTATTTAATCTTAAAATACTTACATGTTTCAATATCACATATCTTGTTCAAAATGATGACCAGTTGACACAGTACTCAAATCTAATTATTAATATGGTCACCGAACTTAGAATATATTACAGTCAGTAATTCTAGCATTCTAGATAAAGTAGTTGATTTCACATTACTGGAGTAACTGCTTGAAGTATTTACAGATTCTGAAACATACGATAATACATAAATAGTTGTTCATGTTTTTAATTATGCAATGATTTAAGTCATATAATGCAGCAATTTTTAATTTATAAAAAGTCATAATGCGATATTTTAGCTATTCATGTTGAATTTATCAAATTGTGCAAATAACAAATACTAATGGGGATAATTATCGGGTCCGGAAAAGTTTCGTTGTGCAACATTCAACATCTGTACAGTAAACGAATACGTTGGAAAGTAGTTCGTGCTGATCAACAGGTGGCATATTACCTGTATGTACCACATCACGGAGTTACGAAAATTACCAGCAATACAACAAGGCATATTATCCGATCGATACAAGCAACTTTTTATGTGCTTTGAATATGATATAGACCACAAAGAAATATTGTTGTGAGACCAACTCATCGACAACAAAGATATTCTATCACTTCATATAATTATAAAGATGCAGTCACGAATACATAATCAGTTATCTACACTTCAATATAGGGAATTGTTTAAATATGCCTGGTTTCGATGTGGATATTAGCAGGCCAGAACATATTGAAAACCCAGTAGATTTTTGTTTCAATCAACTCGAATCCATGAATTGTTCACATTGTGCGGAACTTGTTGTATTGAAATGTTCGTAATATCGACGACATTTATGTTTCATACATTTCTTTGAGAATTTTCATTATTGTGATAATTATATATATATATAAATTAGTGTTAGAAAATAGAAATTAACGAACAGTCGACACAGGCCATCCGCTTTTTGTCATTGCACTTCCCCTTCCTCAGGGAACTTCGCTGGGCCCAAGTGCCCTAAACAGCCGTGCTGACGGGGGTGTCCTCAAGACAGGATCGTGTCAATGAAGACACTCTTATATTGGCTTTCGTCGTGAAACGTCAGTAAAGAATTGCAGTTACTTGTTTTAAAATCGCCCACAAATTATTTGATATCTCATCAATAACCTTTCCTGATTTACCTTACATTAGTATAGAATTGCATGGATGTATAAAATACTTATTCTTATTTACTTTTGTCGGAGGAACAATGCCTCGACCCCACACGACGACATCTACATGCATCTGTATACGCCCCATTTTTCTATAAATTGACAATCAAGATCGTTTTTTCTGTTTTTACTTATTAACTTCAAACGTAAACGTGTGTGTGTAAATTCCACCTTTTTTTTTTTTAACGAGGAGAAATCTTCGAAAAGACAGCCCCACTCCCCGGGGGAGGAGCGGGGGTAGTGTGGGATTTGTACTCACTAAAACCTCTCGGTGATTCCCGCCCCGGCGGCATGGCGCGTCCCGGGATCGTGCGTTATCGTCACCGCGATGCGCCAGTGTAAATTCCACCTAGTGTGTTGAAAGTAAGTACCGTCAATAGCGTTGAAACGACAGTGAATATGTACTAGGATTTCCCTTGTAATGCAAGAGAAAAACGAAGATCAAACTCAGAAGGGTAATAATAAACCGGAATGTTACCGTTGCAGCAAACTGGACCATTTTGCGAGGGAATGCAAAAGTAAGATGTATAGGAAGTCAAAACAATGCGATAAGCCGAATATCGGGACGAGGATACAAAATAGAGGGTCAAAACAAATCATGTTTTTCGACAATCAGCACCGAAGAGGCGATGACTATTCAAGGAGCAGTTCTGTATGCTGCGTTGATAGTGGATGCACGGGATATATGTATGTTAGCGTCAAAGCTAGCGTCTAAGCGAAAGGTTGTTTATGAGTGTCCAAGTGAGGCGATAGACGATAGCTATTGACTTGAAGTCACATGATCATCGGATGTCACAGGACAGGATGATGTTTTGTTAGTTTGTAAAACTGTAGAAAAGGGCAGGCAGTTTGTTATTTCATTGCCTAAACGAATAGGAACATTGTTCCTTAAGGATCTGGCCACGGTGTGGGGAGGCAAGGATGCCTTTGGTAAGAAGACTGACAAGGGACCATCCCGAAGTGGTAATCTCCGATTTTGATGGAACTTGGATATAATGTAGTTCTCGAAAAAATATTCGACACGTATTTTTTTTTAGCTGCTATCATTCATGTTAAGAGGGTGAAAATAGCCCTCGAAGTTGGGGGTTGAAACCATATTTGTGGGAATATCTCCGGAACTAAATAAGATAATTGAATTCTTTTTTTTGTAAATTGTTCGTCTTTAGATAGGAAATTTTTGTGCAAAAAAAAAATTTCAAGAAACTTTATTTGTTTAAATAATATTTAAAAAATTTATCATTTTTGTTTAAATTTTTGCACTAAATGTTGATCTATTTTTTTGCAACTTCGTGTACGTAAACTATGGACAAAAATAGAGGATACGTGTTTTTGGAATTTGCTGTTTTTTGCAATGTTTATTAGATATATAATTTAGTCACCTCCTGTGAAGAGGGCCAATCAGCATTTTTATTAAAAATATCATAATTTTCACAATTTTTTGCAATATTCTTAACATTTTATACCTCTTTATATGTCGTTAATTGATTTCTCAAAAATTATTGTAAGCATCGCAGGTATGAGCGTGACACGGTTCAAATCTACGCCGCAAGGAACATAGGCTTTTATGGCCAATATCGTTAAAAAATAATTTACTTTAATTCTATTTTCTTACTTTCTTAAAAATCTCAATGTTTCTAAAAGTGCTAAATATTTTATTTAGATTGAAGACTTTACAGCTGTAAAAGTATAAAATCAGTATTGACCATAAAAGCCTATACTCCTTGCGGTGTTGATTCGAACTTGATCTAAAATATTTAAAAGTTTATACTTCTTATAATATGTTATCATTGAAAGTCGAATAAATCCATTTATATCTAAAAAAATCATTTATCTTTTTAACATTTTTGTTAAATTTAAGAAAATTTAATTTCATTAAATTAAATTTATTTAATTTACATAAAATTAAATTTCCTCAAATTTATATAATAAAATTAAATTTTTGTTAATTTATTGCATAATATAATTTAACAAGATTATAGTTTTAACATTATTCAAATTGATTAATATCTGTCAATACTTTTAAGTCAATTCAACTGCAAACCTTTAAATATTTCAATATATGAATAAATGGACTTAAAACACTTTTAAAAATAACGATTCGTGTTGAAATTTGTAATTTAGATTTACCTGGTTTGAGTGATCCGGATCCAAGAAACCGACGTGCTGGAAAACAGTGCTTAACGCCGAAATTGGTCGCGTCACTTAGATGCAAACTAAATGATCGTGATATTATCGTGTTACTTCTGCAAATTATACTTCACATAATTTGATAATTATTCAACGTTACACGCGAAAAATACAGTGATTTCATCGTGCAAAATTTTGCTCTTCGATGAACAACGTCTGCTGCGCGTACGAAAGTCTTTCAAACTGTGCGAAGCGTTCGATTTCGATCGTAACTGCGACGAAGCGGTATTTATTTATCGAAGTACGCATCGATTGGCAGACAATCGCCCGCCCAATCTCGCGTTCGATCTATGTTCGAACGCG